TTGGCTGGGGGGCCGCTGCTTGAACTGGTCCAGCCACTCTCGGTGAGGTTGTGCGGGGTGGACGTTTTATATCCCAGTCAATTACAGTTCACGAAAACTGAAAAGCTCCTAAAATTAAAACCCAAAAAAGCAGCATTTACAACACTTCCTGATACAAGTCCAGCTCACCCAAACACATACACCAAGGCGGGCATACACGCACACCCACCACATGGTAAAGGAGAGAAACATGTGCTCATGGAGGGAAGGTCACGTGGTGATACAGAGCGTGTCCTGATCAGAGTGTCTCAGTGGCTGAACATGGACCTAGGAACCCAGAGATCACAATTCAGTTCCCTGTGAGGGCACATGCCTGGGTTATGGGCTCAATTAAGAAAGCCTGTGGGAGGGGGTGCAGGAGGCAGCTGATGAATGATTCTCTCTCATCATGGATGTTTCTATCACTCTCTCCCTCTCCCTTCCTCTCTGAAATCAATAAAAATATACTTATAAAAAAGAGCTTGCCCGGCCAGCATGGCGCAGTGGTTGAGAGTCAACCTATGAACCAGGAGGTCACGGTTTGATTACCAGTTAGGGCACAAGCCCGGCTTGCAGGTTCGTCCCCAGTGTGGGGCGTGCTGGAGGCAACCAATCAATGATTTCTTTCATTTTTATTATTATTTTTATTTTAAAATATATTTTATTGATTTTTTTTACAGAGAGGAAGGGCGGGGGATAGAGAATTAGAAACATTGATAAGAGAGAAACATTGATCAGTTGCCTCCTGCACACTTCCTACCAGGGATGTGCCCACAACCAAGGTACATGCCCTTGACCGGGTCCTTTCAGTCCACAGGCCAACACTCTACCCACTGAGCCAAACCGGTTAGGTCTCTCATTTTGATCTATCAACACTCTACCCACTGAGCCAAACCGGTTAGGTCTCCCTTTCCCTCTCCTTTTCCCTGTGAAATCAATAAAAAACATATTTTTAAAAATAGTAAAGGAATAGCTTTAAATCTATTTACTTGTTTTTCATAAATACCCTCATATCAGAAAATGTAAGACTCGGGTCTGCCTCTAATTCTGCAGTAACACTCTGGGCCTCCCTGAAACTACTTTTCCTTCCCTGGAAATTAGATGGTATCTCCCTGAGGGATTTAATTTTTTTTTTTTTTTAACTTGCTGGGAAGACAAAGGGAAATTGGAAAGAGAGAGGAGATTGATTATCTTGCTAGAACCCAATTGCAGGGCAGGCATCTTGACCTCAGCCTGGGGCTTGGACAGCAATAGCAGGTGGTCCGGAAACAGGCAGAGGCCAGCCTTACAAGACACAGCCAGGGCTCTGGGGTACGCTGTGGAGGGAGCATCCCTGGACCTAAACCTAGCTGTGGACCGAGGACAGGCAGGGACACCACCCACAGTACAATCTGGAGCAAACACTGGGTCAGCCACACAGTCACAGCTTGCTGGTCCAGAAAACCAATGTTTCCCATGCTTGCTGACAGTGTAGATTAGGGGTGTCGAACTCAATCAGAGAAGGGGTCAAAATCTAAAATCCAGCCTAAATTGCGGGCCGAATGGTTTACTGAACAGTCATAAACTGTCATTGTGATGGAAACGCAGCGGAGTGCAGTGATGACAGCGCGGTGCAGGCCACATTGCAAGGCCTGGCGGGACGGATTTGGCACATGTGGTGAAGCCAGGCAGTCCTGCAATGCTTACTAACTCCATTCCAGCCTGAGAATCATCTCACAGTTCACCACAAGAGACCTGACAGTGAACCAACAAGCTAGACTTTTCCCTGCTCTGAATCAAGCTTTAAGGTGTTGGTAACCACAAACATCCAGGAATTGCCTAGCTGGCATGGTTCAGGGGATGAGCTTTGACCTATGAACCAGAAGGTCACAGTTCAGTTCCTGGTCAGAGCATATGCCCAGGTTGTGGGCTTGATCTCCAGTAGGGGACCTGCAGGAGGCAGCCAATCCATGATTCTCTCTCAGCATTGATGTTTCTATCTCCTATCCCTCTTCCTTCCTCTCTAGAATCAATAAAAAATATATCTTAAAAATACCCAGAAATAAATAAGTACCAACAGGTCATACCTCACCACCACCAAGCTATTGAGTCTTCCCAAATGAGCCAGTGAGTTAGAGAATGCCCGATTCTATTAGCCTTAAATTCATCAATTAAATGAGATTGGAAATGTGTGTCTCACCAAGGGGACCGCAGGGATTTCATCTCTTAATTGGTGCTTGTAATGTCCTTTGAAAACCACAAATCACCTCCCAAATATAAGACATCACTCAGTCCAGTCCCACTCCTGACGTGGAGGACACGGAGTCTGCAAGCGCTTCCTGTGCTGGGAGGGAAGGAAAGGAAATGAATGAACCTCTGTGGAGCGCTTGTCGTGTGCAGGGTACTGTGCTCTGTACTTAATACACATGACTCCATCCAGGATTTCTTTTCTGGGAGGAGGAGCATAACTGGAAATTTTAAAGCTGTAGCAAAAGTGCAAAAAAGAACAGACAAGCCATTCAGGCCGACAAAAATTAGATTACCATATCAACATATTTGCTTCTAACTTCTTTCCATAATTAAAAAAAAAAATAGATATTTTGTTTAACAGTAGAGGCCTGGTGCACAAATTCATGCACCAGTGGGGTACCTTGGCCTGGCCTGCAGGATCAGGCCAAAACCTGCTCTCTGACATTGCCCAAAGGGTCCCAAATTGCCAGAGGGCACAGGCAAGGCCGAGGAACCCCACTAGTGCATGATCAGGGCTGGGGAAGGACACAGGAGTTTGGCCAGCCAGGGAGGGACTATATGGAGGTAGTAGGCTCCAGGATGTGTCCAGCCCATCTTTCTCAGTTCTGATCAGCCGAACCCCAGCAGCAAGCTAACCTGCCAGTCCATGCATCTGCCCCCTGGTGGTCAGTGTACACCATAGTGAGTGGTTGAGTGGCCTTACCATATAATTAGCATACTATGCTTTGATTGTTTGAACGGAGGACTGTATGACCAGACACTTAGCATATTAGGCTTTTATTATATAGGATAAGATGTGTGTTAATTTTCTATTCAAACTATGAAAAGCTATGCAAATAATAATAATAATAATTACCCAAATTTAATAATTTTTCATCATAAAATTATTAAAATTAGGTAATATTGCAGCCATCTTTCTGTGCATATATAGAGGAGGTAGATTAACATGTAGACAGATTAATGCATAGACAGAGAAGAATACTTTCATTAAAATGGGATCATACCATAAATGCTACTTTTAATATTGGAATTAAATTTTAAGTTGAAATAAGTAAAAATGAATAGAATTTTGAACTTTGAATAAATGATGATTTAAGACCAAAAAAAATTGTTTTTCTAAAAGATTCCCTTTAGTTTTTATAAAAAATTCACTAAGTAACACTAAAAGGTCAGCGTGCTTATGCTTTAAAAATTGCATCTATAGCCAAAACTGGTTTGGCTCAGTGGATAGAGAGTTGGTCTGCGGACTGAAGGGTCCCGGATTCGATTCCAGTCAGGGGCATGTACATTGGTTGTGGGCACATCCCCAGTGGGGGGTGTGCAGGAGGCAGCCGATCGATGTTTCTCTCTCATCGACGTTTCTAGCTCTCTATCCCTCTTCCTTCCTCTCTGTGAAAAATCAATAAAAAAAAGAAATAAAAATTACATCTATAATAATAAAAGTGTAATATGCCAATCAGACTGGAAGTCCTTCCAGACCACCTTCCGGATGAAGCCGGGGCTGTGAGGGAAGCCTGGGTCCCGGGTGCCAGAGGGAACCTGGTACCGGCAGCCAGGGAAGGAAGGCCTCCTCTTTTTTTAAAAATATATTTTATTGATTTTTTACAGGGAGGAAGAGAAAGGGATAGAGAGTTACAAACATTGATAAGAGAGAAACATCGATCAGCTGCTCCCTGCACACCCCACACTGGGGATCAAGCCCACAACCCAAGCATGTGCCCTGACCGGGAATCGAACGGTGACCTCCTGGTTCATAGGTCGACACTCAACCACTGAGCAGCCGGCCGGGCTTCAGTCGTTCAGATGACTTGCTGTTGCAGTCTGGGTCTCCAAAGTGTTTCTTGGCCTGAGGGCCGTCAGTCAGCCAGCAGGTGTCTCTCTGAGGGCCCTGGAGGGTGTGTTCCATCCACTCATAGGGACCCTTCCAGCTCAGTGACACCAAAGAGTGTCATGCTGAGTCATCTTATGCCTTTTTCATTCATTGCCTTTCCTTCATTTGCTTTATTATCTGTGCTTTTCAATTGCATTCTTTATAATTATTTCAAATTACCCTTTTATGTCAGTAATTTGATGTTCAGTAGTTGTGTATTTTGTTTCTTGCCTATCCTAATTGATTTATTAGATTTTTAAAGATGCGGTTGCAATTTGTCCCCTTACATTTGCAACCTCCTAATTTATCTGATTCTACTGTTTGTTTTTTATGTTGATATTAAATTATATTTTCTTCTTCTTTTTTTTTTCTTTAAAAAACAATAAGACACCTTTTTGTGTCTATAGCACGAACCAACTGAGAGAAATTCTTAGGACTCCTTGAGCTGATTTTCCTCCTGGACGGTACTTGTCTGCCCTCCACACGCCCTGTTTTCCACATCCGTTCATTGAGTAGAAACGGAGGTGCTGAAGATCTGTTGGCTTGAAGGGTTTCCTTCTGGAAAGTGGTGACCTGGGACTTGAAGTCCAGATGCTGGTGCTGGGTGGGCATTAGTTGCCGATTTGGTGGCTTGTGTTGGTTATGCACAAGACCACCCTTGCAGGACATGCAAGCTGATTTGTTTGGGAGGATGGACACCAGTTTGCAAAAGTACTCCAGATGGCTCAAGACATCCTCTGCACTCTCCTCCCGGTGCTCTCTGTGTGTCTGAGACTGTTCCAAAGTGCGCGCCCTTTAAGTGTGTGTTGACCTGACATCCCCCAGGCCTGGGGCCTCGCTGAGAGCTGTGGTTTCTCACCTGGCGTGATCCTTCCTTCTCCAGGTGACCAGGGTGCCGGGCCGTCCAGCCGCCCCGTCTTCACGCAGGAGCCGCAGGACGTCACTTTTCCATTGGCCTCGTCACAGTCAGAAGTCACCCTGAGCTGTGCTGCGACCGGCTACCCTCCACCCCATTACAGGTAGGGTCCTGCCTCTTGGCACCAGGCCAGTTTCCTCTGACTTTGGGGTAAAACATACCCGTAATCACGTGCTCAGAGCACCCCCGTTTGCTGTGAGGGGCTCAGTGTCCCACTGTGTGCCCACTGTCCTGAGATGACACGTTAGTTCCCTAAGTTTCCCCCTCTCCAGGCAGCAAGCACCCTCCCCGCCAAGGGCAGTCACTACTCGGACTGCGTTTATTGATCAGGTTTGCTGAGAAGAGTTATTCTTGACATTGTCGCCACGCAGTGTCACGTTGAGGTTAGATCAGAAAGAAAAAACGGGGAAAAGAAAGAGAAGGGAGGGAGGAAGTAAAGAAAGGAAAGAAGGAAGGAAGCAAAGAGGGAGGGAAGGAAGACACATTGGACAGAAAATAAAGAGGAGGATGAAAGGAAAAGGCAGGAAGGAGAGGAAGAGATGTGTCCTAGCTTGGAAGGACCACGGAGCTGGCCCGTTCTGTAGTCCCCTCCCAGGGTGAGGCTCCCGCCTCCCTTGCCCCCCACACAATGGTGATGACGATGGTAAAGGTTCCCCTAAAAGCAGTTAATCAAGATGGAATCTTTCTTTCTTTCTTTCTTTCTTTCTTTCTTTCTTTCTTTCTTTCTTTCTTTCTTCTTCTTCTTCTTTTTTTTTTAAATATATTTTATTGATATTTTACAGAGAGTAGAAAAGGGGAGAGATAGAGAGCTAGAAACGTTGATGAGAGAGAAACATCTACCAGCTGCCTCTTGCACACCCCCAACCGGGGATGTGCCCACAACCAATGTACATGCCCTTGACCGGAATCGAACCTGGGACTTTTCAGTCTACAGACCGACGCTCTACCACTGAGCCAAACCGGTTTCGGCAGAAGCTTTCTTGTATCTGATAAATTCCTGTGACCCCACTGCTGGGCCCATCAACCCAAAAGCATTGATTTTAGAAAATGTCTGAAAGACAGCTCTGCGCCTTCTGAGGCAGCACAGTGCTTTTATTGTGGGCAAAGAAGAGAAAGAGTCGTGGTCTCCCACATGTGAATGGGGAGGAGGGGTCAGGAACGATTCTGTTCTTATAAGGTTGCAGGGAAGGCAGAATGTGGTCCTCATTGGGGATGGAATGTGCACATTTTCAAGTATATGCACGGGTCTAGTATGCTAGTGTAAATAATAATGGTATTTGGTTGGTGAGAATTGCATATGCAGAGTGGATATAGGAAAAGACAGAATAAATATTAGTATGACTCTTGTAACGTGGGGTTTGAAAAGCATTTTTCAAGAATCCTAATTTTTATCGGGGAAGTTGAATAAACACACAGAAAGTAACAATTTCAGCCCATTAGGCAAAATAAACTGGTTTTGCCTACTTTTGATGTTGCATTAAAAATGCCATATTTACATATATAACTACTTTGATCTTAAAATTATGTAGATTAATTATGACTAATGACTCCACTGCACAGAGCTAAAGAAAGACAACTATCACTTGTAATTTTTGAGCAAATTTCTGCAACTTTTGTTTCCCCCCAACTGAAAGGTGATGTCTTCTCGTGTAACTCTCATACACTGACCCAGGCTGCATGTCCTTACACCTCACACCAAAGAGCCCAGCTGTAGGTGAAAAATCACTCCCTTAACAAATGGATTTTGTATTGTTGGTTGATTTTTTTTTTTTTTTAATAATGAACTGTCTTATTTAATTTAACGTGTGGTTAAATTTATAAATAGCTGACTAAAACATTTTTCATTTCACCTGATACTTAAAGTTGTAATTTTATTTTTGAGGGCTAAATTTGATTGCTCATAAGAGTCGGTAGAGTTTGCTGAAGAAGGAAAAGAATCTGTGAGTCCCTATGAGTCCTTATTGGCTAAGTACAAGAAGCAGCCTATCCACCAATCAATCAGGTACTTACATAAGATATCTATGGATTTACAACAGGCAGAAAAAATATAAAACAATGGTCCTCCAGGTAATTCACCCATTAGTTTTGTCTATAAAAACATACACAGAATGAGGAGACTACAAATCCCAGGGCTGTTAAATGGCTTTTGTTGCTCAGATACTTGTAACTTAGGAGGCTAAAAGGCAATTTGGTCCAGTCCCATGATCTGGTGAGCCCATCTCTAATATTATAGCATAAACCACTAGTAGGCAAGAGGCTTTGAAAGGATGGAGGAAAGAATGGGTTCGGGGGTACTAACATATCAGGCTCAGACCCAAATTCCTTGATAATGAAGCAACGGGCAGAGGTTGTCTCAGATTATGCCCATTAGCAACAACATGCGAAGTTGTTTCAGTATGACCCTTTCTAACGTAAATTTATAGCAACAAACTCACTGTAACCACCTTCGTCTTAGGTTGGGTGAGTGAGATGGAGGAAAATCTTTGGGGTTCAGGGCCTCACATGATCTGAGGTCATGTGGATAGAGTGGGAAGCCCTACGAAAAAGGAGGTGTTGACTTGGAGTGAAGAAGGGCCGTGACGCTAGTCCCCACTCTGACACCCTGTGTGTGCCCTCGCGTGATCTTAGAAGTACCGTTCCTGCCCCCTGGCATCAGCTTCCTTATTGAGCTGATTTTGAGCTGTGTGGGTATTTCATTTTATTTCTTTAGTAAATTCCCTTTAGCAAATTAAATCCCATGAGGGAAAAAGCAATCTTTAGAGCAGAATTTTGGAACTAGTATAAAAGCAACTTTTCTAGCCCTAACTGTTTTTTGGCTCAGTGGATAGAGCATCAGCCTGCAGACTGAAGGGTCCCAGGTTTGATTCCAGTCAAGGGCATGTACCTTAGTTGCAGACACATCCCCAGTGGGGGGTGTGCAGGAGGCAGCTGATCGATGTTTCTCTCTCTTTGATGTTTCTAACTCCCTATCCCTCTCCCTTCCTCTCTGCAAAAAAATCAATAAATATATATATATTTTTTTTTTTAAAAAGCAACTTATCCGGTGTCACTTAAACAGAGTAAAGCACCGTTACAAATTAGATCCTGGGAAAGCAAGAAGATGTAGACGCGTCGGTCAAGTTGGGACAGAAGCCTTCCCATGGAAAGATCCTTCTATTTTATAACAAAGTTTAACCAGAGAGCTCTGCCAAGGGAAGGAGCACGAGGTCCCCAAAGATGGCACGTGGGTGGGATGGCTTATCCCTAGAAAGTTTAGGATCCCTGAGAGCAGTAAGCTTAGCCCCCGCTCAGAGGACGCGTTTTATTTGGAAAAGTGAGTTGACACGTAAGAGGTTACTACATGGGCCACATCCACTGTCATCAGAGACAGGTCTGTGAAGGTCACCGAGGATGTGTGCCCCACCTGCTCTAGGCCTGCTCACCGCAGGGGCTCCCCTCTCCAGCTGCGCCTATCCCCCCAACCCCTCACCCCCGGTCAGAGAGGCACTCCTGGGTCCAGAGGGGCCCAGATTTGAAGTAAACCACACCAGTGCTCCCTCGGCTTCTCTCCTCCTCAGTCACCCCCTCCTAGACCCCCATGAAACAGGAGGGAAGTTGCTGTGCGCATTTAGAAGTGATGGCGATGAGTTCTGTGGGAATTTGAGGACTCGTCTTACGATACACTAGACCAGTGGTCGGCAAACCGCAGCTCCCGAGCCACATGCGGCTCTTTGGCCCCTTGAGTTTTTAGCAAAGGCCAGCTTAGGAGTGCCCTAATTAAGTCAATAACAATGTACCTACCTATATAGTTTAAGTTTAAAAAATGTGGCTCTCAAAAGAAATTTCGATCATGCTGTTGATATTTGGGTCTGTGGATAATGAGTTTGCCGACCACTGGCCTGCACCAGAGGGTCTCCCCACAGGGCAATGCTATCGAACGTACTAGGAGGGCACGTGGCCCGACCCTGCGAGGCTGCAAACCGTCCAGCTTGCGGAGTTCTGTTCAGAGGTGCAGGGATGCGCCCAGAAACAGGCACTGTGAAGGCGCCCTCCACCCCGTGCACTAAAGCAGGGTGGGGAACCTTTCTCTGCCAACGGCCGTTTGGATACTCATAACATCGTTTGCGGGCCACACGCAATGATCCACTTTAAAATTTGCCCAACATTTTTTAAAATATATTTTTATTGATTTTTACAGAGAGGAAGGGAGAGAGATAGAGAGCTAGAAACGTCGATGAGAGAGAGACACCGACCAGCTGCCTCCTGCACACCCCCCACCAGGGATGTGCCCGCAACCAAGGTACATGCCCCTGACCGGAATTGAACCTGGGGCCCTTCAGTCCGCAGACCAACGCTCTACCACTGAGCCAAACTGGTTTCGGCTTGCCCAATATTTTTAATTGATCATGTGGTCCAACATGGAATGAACTCTCCCCTCATGCTTTAGCAGGGCCAGACCCAGTGAATTCTCAGGTCTTACACGGCCTGCAGGCCAGACGTTCCCCACCCCGGTTCTAAACCAAGGCCCAGTTCTGAAACATACATGCTCACATACACATACACACCCCCTAAACCTCACGTGCACACACATGCACATGTGTGCACACATGTGCACCCACCCACTTATAAACACACGCACGCGTATGCTTGCGTTATGGCAGAAAGCGGACAGACATGGCCCCAACCATGCTGTTCTTGACTCAGGGCTTAACGTCTCAATAGTGAAGAATGTTTCCAGCAAAAGGTCAAGATTTTAATTTGAATCCATTATGTTCCTTGGGATTGCTATGATATTAATTAGATGCTTAAAGTAATCATCTAAAGCACTTTCCCTCACCAAAATTCTCCCTGGTGTGCGGTCCTATCTGGAACGCGTGCACAACCACCACACGAATCAGTTCACACGCCTCTCTCTCCATCGATTCAGACGTATTAATTAGGATGGCCCACGCCAGGCTGGCCCCGGTCTGTGTGCCCGGGGTAATAATCGTGGCTCCGAGTGACGGGAATGATGATGGGGCGACTGCGAGAGACTCATTGGCTGCAGCAACGCCGAGCACTCTGCATGTGTGTGGAGAAACAATTACGGGGCTTAATTAGGAGCATGTAAGGATGACAGCACTTATTCCCGTGATTGATTTCCAAACGGAGGGGACCTGGCGAGCCCAGGCCGGGTCTGCTTCACTCGGAAAGGAAAGGGAGCTCCAGGCCCGGGACGTGGTGGGGAGCCGCGGTGAGGCTGTGTGACCCCGTGGAGGGGAGGCAGTGGGGGCAGGAGACACGCTTGGAAAGGACGCTTTTCACCACTTGCTTCTCTTAACGTTGAGGACAAGAGAAAGTGCACACATTGGGCAGGAAGTTCAGCGAAGGGAAATGCAGCTTTTTAGACTGTGGTCCTCAAATTCTCTAGTGAAAAGAAGTGGAGGTGCACAGAATGGGATCAATAAGTTAAAAGGGAAGAGCTGGTCCCAAAGCTCGGATGGATTTGGTGTGGGGTCCATTACTCTGGATTTCCCGGGGTGGAGGGTGAGGTACCTGTGTCGGTATTGCTTTCGCTGTGGTAGCCACTGGCCGTCTCTCTCCATGGTGTTTAGGATGCTCCTGAAAAGGTCAGTGCTGTTGGGAAGAATTTTGTAAAATGTCATTCCTTTCTTACAGTTCACCACTCCCTGCCCCTCCTCCGCCCCCACCCCAGCCCCAGCCCCTCACATGTTTAGTCTGATCTTAGCGTGACCGGAGGAATCCTTGTAAACTGGCTCTATTCCATGGGAAAGGCTAGCCACTTTTTAGAGCAAATTGTTACCAGAGATGAACAATGGATTCTGTATGTTAATTTGAAAAGGCGGCCTCAATGGTTGGACAAAAATGAGGCTCCGCAGCCCACGCCAAAACCTGACTTGCATGCAAAAAAAGTGATGTTGTGTGTTTGGTGGAATTTTAAAGGAATTCTTCATTTTGAACTTTTACCATCTAACCAAACCATTACAAGTGCAGTGTATAGTGCCCAATTGGAAAGGTTAGCCCAAGCTTTAAGAGAAAAAGAACCCGCGCTGATTAATCGGAAGGGCGTAATTCTTCCTCACAATAACGCATGACCGCATACTGCAAGAATCACTGCTGAAAAACTGTGCCAGTTGGAATGGGAAGTTCTCCCTCAACCTGCATATTCTCCTGATATTGCCCCTTCCGATTACCATTTGTTTCGTTCTTTGCAAAACTTTCTTCTTGGAAAAAAATTTAATAATGAAGAATGCCTCAAAAATGCATTGACCGAATTTTTTGCATCAAAATCACAAGAATTTTACAACAGAGGGCTTAAAATGCTTCCTGAGTGTTGGGCACAAGTAGTAGAAAACAACGGCAACTATATTGTTGATTAAATTTTGTTGTATTGTTTAAATAAATTCGATTTAAAAAAGTATTAGAAAACGACATTAATTATTACTAGACCTAATAGATCAATGTTCAACCACCGAGCCACCATGGCTAGTCTCCTAAATGCTTCTTACATGAATACACACACACGTGTCCTTATAATGCATCTCATTAACTGTGCAATATCCACGCTTCTACATGCCTAGACATGTTGACGAAACTTAGGGGGTTCGAGGCGGTGTAATTAGAGATAACCACTGGGCATTCGCTCCTCTTCAAATGGCCTACGGGCATTTCCAGAGCATCTTCTGGTTCTTAAAAATAAAGCATGGCGAGGTCTTCCTCCCACTCAATTCATGGACTAGAGCTGTGGTTGGCGAACTCATTCATCCACAGAGCCAAATATCAACATGACAACGATTGAAATTTCTTTTGAGAGCCATTTTTTTTTAAACTTAAACTTCTTCTAACGCCACTTCTTCAAAATAGACTCACCCAGGCCCAGGCCGTGGTATTTTGTGGAAGAGCCGCACTCAAGGGGCCAAAGAGCCATATGTGGCTCGAGAGCCACTGTTTGACGACCACGGGACTAGAGCATTGCTCACTGATAACCAAGCTGGCAGACTGTCTAAAGTAAAAACTTCTTGAGCCACGTCTGTGCGGTGCCAGTCTCAGGCCAGCGTGGCATTTCCGAGCCCCGGGAGCTGATTCGGAGTGATTGATTCTCCCAGGAAGAGACCCGCAGGGCCGGGCGTGTTCCGTGGCCACCAGGCCACTGTCGGGTTGTTATCAGCCTCCGCCCGGCTCCATGAGATCTCGGCCATCTTTCCTGGGCCGTTTGTAACACATGCGTCCACATGTCTCTCCCTAAATCATCCTGACATTTCATTTCGCGGTGTCAGCTCCGGGCGAGTGCGATGGCCACGCTGCTGGAAAAGTTGCTCGAGGAGTAAGAAGGTCCCTGTTCTTGACGGATCATTTTCTTTCTCGTGGTGAGGGCTCCGTTGCCTCTTTGTACTCATTTAGGTGAATGGTTGTAATTCATAAAGCGTAGATCTTTGTTTAAAAAATATTTGTCTTAATTTCAGAGAAGAAGGGAGAGGGAGAGACAGAAGCATCAATGATGAGAGAGTCGTTGGCTAGCTGCCTCCTGCGCTCCCCCTATCAGGGATCAAGCCCACAACCCGGGCCTGTGCCCTGGCCGGAATCAAACCGTGACCTCCTGGTTCATAATGGGTGCTCAACCACGGAGCCACGCTAGCCAGGCAACAGTAGATCTTTCAAGTATCCTGCTTATTGGTTTTGCTGAGCTGGTGGGCACAGGTATCTTTGGTGGAACTGGTAGGACTGTCTCTGCATGGAGCCACACTGGGCTTTCTAATCCATGCATGGAATGACCAAGGCTGTGAATGACCAACAGAGGCCGGCTCTAGATGATTAGCATAATGTGATTTTTTCCCCTGAAGGTGGAGGCGGAATGGCACAGACCTGGATTTTTCCATGAGTTCGCACCACAGGTTGGACGGAGGCAACTTGGCGATCAGCAGCCCACGCTGGGACCAGGACGCGGGCACCTACCAGTGTCTGGCCACCAACCCGCTGGGCACGGCTCTGAGTCAGACAGCGAAGCTCCAGTTTGCATGTGAGTTTGGGGGGGGGGGTGGGATTTGTAATTGCTGTGACTATGAAAATGGAGTATTTTTATTACATGCACTTTAGAAGACAATCCGGCTTTGCCACTCAACTGCTCTCTGAGGGCAAACAGGAATTGACGGAGGTGAATGTTTTCACGGCCTGTTTTGGGAATCCAGACACCCGGGTTCAAAGGACTCCGGTTCCATAGAAGACCATTCCACCGCATCTCAGGGATCATATTTAGAAACATGTTCCATATGGAAATACATGCAAAGACACAGGCCCCATTCCTCCTCATCCTGGTCCTCCGTGTTGAATGTTGGGCTGCAGAGCCCGCAGCGGGGAGGTGAGGGCAGGGCTGCCTGGGGAGGTGGCTGCTCCCCCGGGGACGTGGTCTCGGGCCACAGTGCGATGCAGGTGGAAATACAGTGGTTGCCGCAGGCGGACTTTATATTAACCGAACACTGTCTGGCGGCGTCACACAAATGTCACCAGGTAATTACCTCGGTGACATTTGGGGACATTAGCAGATGAGCAATAGACAGAGTGCCTCATGTCCTTTATAGGCAGTGCTTCCAGGGTCTGGGATGTCCCTGTGCAATCCAGGTAATTCTCTCTGCTGAGGGGGGTGGAGCAGGAGGTGGGCTGCCATGCACCCACCCTACCCTGCAGCACCCCCACCCCCACCCCTGCAGCACTTCCCAACCCTGCAGGGGACCCACTGTGGCCCAGGGACTAATGCTCAGGGAAAGGGCCTGTTGTCCGTTAGCGTGATGAACAAGTACTCACTATGAGACTTCATTAATGGAACACATGGCAGAGTCCACCTTGTGGAATTACTTCAGCTCTCAGCAGCGTGTGGATTGATAATTGGTCTGTTCCCCTGCAGGTCTATGTCCTTCAGACCCTGCTCCACACATGGAGGTTCTCCGTATGGAGGCCATTTGGTGCTGCCCTTGTTTCTGAAAAATATATACACACTTTGAACAATTACGGATGCAGTGTCTAATAAATTACATTTCATTTCCAACTGGAATAGAATCAGCTGTCAACATGTGCATACATTTTTTGGTGACACCCTGCATGTATGTGGATATATATATTCATAAATAGATAAGCATGCACATGTACACATGCACATGTACAACTTTAGATGGAGGAAATAAAGCAGAATCCACATGAATAAAACACGTGGTCCCAGACAGCAGCCAAGTTCTCTGGCGAAAGTCCTCCCAGAGCCCTCTCCGTCCCTTAGCTGGGTTTCGAACATGTATATTCAAGGTGTGTTTTCAATCCAGTCTCTTGCTCATGGTCTTCACAGGAAGGAAAAACAAAATCCCTCACATACAGAAAGAAATGCTATAATGAAAGCCTCGTGGGCTCTGATCACTGTAGAATATCTTAACTTTTCATGAGAAATGCAAAGCCAGTTCAACATGACCCTGATGATATGGTGATAAAGTGCATTTTTATCTGAAAGAGAAATTAAGACCCAGGAGAATTTTAAAAATAACACCTAACAGTACATTTGGAAACTGGAAAGTCTCTGATAATCGTGGAGTGGGTAACGCATATCTAAATATAAATGGAAATGCTAGGTGGCTTCTAACTTTAAAAAAATATATATTTTATTGATTTTTTACAGAGAAGAAGGGAGAGGGAGAGAGAGTCAGAAACACCCATGAGAGAATCAGCTGCCTCCTGCACACCCCCACTGAAGATGTGCCAGCAACCCCAGTACATGCCCTTGACTGGAATCCAACCTGAGACTCTTGAGTCCTCAGCAGGCTGACACTCCATCCACTGAGCAAAATCAATTAGGGCCTAACTTTTTTGTTTTGTTTTGTTTTATTTTATTGATTTTTTACAGAGAGGAAGGTAGAGGGATGAAGAGCTAGAAACATAGATGAGAGAGAAACATCGATTAGCTGCCTCCTGCACACCCTTCAACGAGGATGTGCCCACAACCAAGGTATATGCCCTTGACCAGAATCGAACCTGGGACCTTTCAATCAGCAGACCGACACTCTATCCACTGAGCTAAACCAGTTTCGGCTTTTTTTAATTTTTTTAATTTTTTAAAATTTTTTTATTTTTTTGTACATCAGGACATGAAGTAGACAAAGGAATATTTTTTCTTGAGTTTCCTACGTAAAAGAAAGTTGGAAATAAGTATCACTTTTTCACTCTCCTTTTGGAAAAAGCACCAAGCAACATGGTAATGAATTTAATATTCCAATGCCTCCTAATATAATAATAAGGTGACCCCCAACTGGTATCATTTCCAGGAGAAAGCTTTGTCTTTGCTTTTAAGAATAATTCTCTTCTCAGACAAATGGACTTAGAGCAGCAGCGTGGCTGAATTACAGTGAGCCGCTATTATATTTATTTTTGAAATCAACAGGGAAGTAGATCACCCAACGCTTTATCTTCGTTTTTCCTGCATCATCACCACTGGGCATCTATTTATGTGCCTCATCGGAAATGATACTCTTTCAAAACCCAGGCCTTTTCTCACCTCCCACCTCTACTTACATTCAGCGGGACCTAATCTTTTGGGTCTATTTGAATAAAATTGCACTTTCACGCCGCACAGGCTGTGCGAGGTGGGAGAGGAGGTTGCTGGGAGGTGAGGGGTCTGTTCCATCCAGATGGAGAGATCCCATGTGTGGAGCTGAGAGAGAAACACAAAGCGGATCCCTTGTTGATGACTCCATACTGCTGGACACACGCTATGGAAGTAGGAGTGTGGCTCTTAGAGAGTTTGCTGCTGAGAATGGGCTGGGAATGACAGCAAAAGTCTCATTTGCTCCAAAGAATCCAATGACATTTCTTCTGGGGTTTACTACCCATAGACAGTCAATGTTACTTTCCTAAAGAGCAAATGAGAATCAAGGGCTTGGATGTACCTATAAATCGTGAAGAGGTTTGGGTGGCAAGCTCTGGAAGGGTTAACCGCGGCTTAAGGTGTTAAGGTCTGCACTGTCCTTGCCAAGTAGCATCAGCCTGAGAGAGGATGACAAGACAGATAAACAGACAGCAACGCTGATCCAGAGACAGGGTGTGGCCACCACCCAGAGGCCCTCCCTGGCACCCTCCTCAGGTTCCATTCCCATCATCCTCCTGTCCACTCTCTGGACCTGCACATTTATAATAAACACTGCCTTTTTAAAATATTTGTTAATCCTCACCCAAGCATATATTTTCCATTGATTTTTAGGGAGAATGGAAGAGAGAGGGAAAGACAGAGAGAAACGCATCGATTGGATGCCTTCAATAGGAGCCCAGACCAGGGCCCAGGCCAGGGAGGAGCCTGAAACCAAGATACATGCCCTTGACCGGAATCAAAACTGGGACCCTTCAGTCTGCAGGCTGACACTCTACCCCCAAGCCCAACCCGCTAGGGCGATACTGCCTTTTTAAATTTTACATGAGCAATACAAGATATGTGCCTTCAAGTCTGGCTTTGTAGCCAACAGTATTTCTGAGATTCATTCATACTGTTATAGGTGACTTTAGTTCATTCAGTCCCATTTTATATCATATTTTATTATACTATAGAATATACTGTAATTTATTATACATTATACTATATAATTTATGAATGACTTCTACTGTCAATGGAAGCTGAGATGTCTTGTAGAGACAAGGATGAATGTTAATCTCACATATGTCTCTTGGAACATTTATGCACACATTTCTCCATTGCATGTACTGGAGAATAGAATTACGAGCTACTTGGGAATACATGATAGTATCTACAACTTTAGAAGGTAATATTGATTGCTATCCATAGTGATTTTATTAATTTATTCTTTTACCAGCAATGTTTTCTGGGTAATTCTGGTATTCTGAATCTTACTGAAATGTTAGCATTTTGAGAGGATATATAAGAGTATCTCATTTTAGTGTGATTTATGTTTCCTAATAACCCTTCCTATAGGTGTCCTGGCTCCTTGCAAGCCCTTCCCCACTTTAAAAAGAACATTGAGATCATTTTTTTCCCCAGAGGAAATGCAGATGTAATCTACAGTTCCAAACTCTAACTTGGCCATTCTCCTATCCATTCCCACAGGCCAATCATGCATGTTTATTGATCACTTACTATGTGCCAGACACATGTGGAAGCAGGAAGCAAAGTACAGTCTATTTTCTGCAAGTGCACATCTGCTCAAATATAACTGCAGGCACTTTTTTAAAAAAGCACAACAAATGTACTGGAATAAAAACAAAACAAACTCCATTGCAATAAAGAACAAGGAGAAATGCGGTTGAGCGATAGTTTTCCAACAGTGATCGCAGGCAGAAATACAGTTTTCCCAGGCAATCTTTCTGCTCCTGACATTGGGAAATGCAAATGAGAAAGAGTCCAGGTCCACAGACCTGATTTAACAAGTCAATTGCAGGGAGGTCCCCCCTCCCCTTTTTTAGAATCACCCACTTGAGAGGCCTACCTCCGTGCATATTAATGAGCTGTTTTGCATAAACCAACTCTGTTTTTATGAATGGAGATTATAGAACCCTCGTGGAGTTCTTCCAGAAAGCCCATCCATAAGCGCTCCTGGAGTCCTTGTTACTAGGGTTTTCTCCCTGGAGCCCAAAGGATTTATTTTAATTATTCCTTCAGTTTTAAGCAAAAGTAGGAAATGTAAACAGCTGGGCCCGGGACCCGGCTTGTGCCAGGTGCCTCTCGGCTTTTTGGAAGGCTCTCTGCTTCCGCCTTTGTACTGTTCTCACTGTTCATTTAGAAAGTAATCCCAGTGATTTCATTAAAAAGGATAGGGAACGAGGCCGAGTCAGCATCAGGATTTGTGACATTGCTTCTTGGCAAGTCTGGCTGACTGAGGGCGGCTATTAACATAGACATGAATATTAATGAAGTTAATCCCTGTCCAGTGAGCCCAGCATTGGGCAGTACACACACAGTGGTTCTGACTCATCCACAGGCGCCCAGTTTGAGAGCCTTGGCCCTCTGGAGTGTCTCAGGGGCAGGTGTCCCTCAAGCAT